CTTCTAACATCCTTGAAGACAAGCTTGTTTCCTAACATTCTGATTAATCCAAAAAACACTCAATATTTGACACAAAGAAATTAAACAAAACAGGGCACTACCTTTGATGCAGGATCTTTAAACTTTCAACACCAAAAAATAGGTAAACTAAAGTGAGAAGGTAGCTGAATGTTAGGGAGGTTTAGGACTGAATGGACGAGTTTGTGTTCTAAGGCTAGAGTTTGGAGAGCTTAAATTTGAGGTAGAGACAGGACAAGTTAGCTGGATTTAGGCAGGAGAAACGTCCAAGGAAAAAAAATGGTAGATAAAACAAAGAAAACTAGGCAATCACGCTAAGTTCTTGGCAATACCACCCAAGGGTTAGGGGTGCATCACACCAAACCCAAAGATGAGATGTATCAACATCTTTACATATAGACAAGCTTGGCTTATTTCAATAATGTGGTCCCTTCATTACATTGTGAGCTTACATTATAGCTTATATTTGACATCTCAAATACAATAATGACTAATACGAAAATTCAAAGTAAAAAATACACAATAATGAGATTTTCAAAAGTAAAAGATAATGCTTGGGACTTTATTGGGGCTGGTGTGCCTAAACTTTCAAACATTAACATGCTGAAAAGTTGCGACTTCTTTGGTGGCTGGTGGTAAATTTTCAACACTAACAGCTGAAATGTGGCTGTTTGAACATCATTATTTAGGCTAATTCTAGGGTAGAATTCTTGACCAAATAAGATAATATGTTCTTCATCTTCCCTCTTCTCTCTATCTCTTGCTCCTCCATCTTCTCTCTTTATCTTCTTTCTTCTCTCTATCCCTCCTCTCCTATTTTCAGCTTTTTTTTTTGTGTTTTTTTGAAAGAAGCAGTTCGGAACCGTTACGTAACGGTGCGTAACAGGCCATTACAGCTACTACGGCCGACACACCTGTGAATCTCAATCACACTGCAAAAATGGCCGTAACGGGTGGCGATAACCACCACAATCATTACGTAATGGCGTTATGTAACAGTTGCAATCGCTTTTGAAAAGCTTGGATGTAAGCTTGGCAACTGGGACAAAGGTAGCACCAAAATCCTTGCCAGGAACTTAAGTGAAGCCCTTGGCCACTAAGCGGGCCTTATAACAGTCAACGAAGCCATTAGGTAGGTACTTAATAGCAAATAGTTAATAGCAAAGACCCATTTGCAACCCACGGTACTCTTGCTAGAGGGTAAAAGAACCAAATCCCAAGTATGATTCTGTTCTAAAGCTGCCATTTCAGTCTGCATGGCCGCTACCCATTTTAGATTCTGAAGGGACACTGACACAGACCGAGGAATAGACTCGGACTCAAGCTTGCCAAGGAAAGAATGATACGAGTCTGAAACCTTGTCATAGGAGAGATACTGGGAAATATGATGATCAGTACTACACAGATACCCGACGGTCGGGGGGATGTTGATCCCAAGAAGGATTACGAAGAGGAAGGGAAGGAGATGTATGTAAAGGGGAAGAATTACCTGACCTAAGATTCAGAGAGGTGGCAGGAGGGGGCTGAGGATAAGGGCAACGAGAGTATACCTGCAATGGGGGAAGGAGGCGAAGGTGGAAGATGAGAAAGGAAGAAACCTCATCCGCAATCTTGTCAAAATGGCCACGGGGCGGACACTCGGAGTATAAGGGGTTGTTTGGGATGACCTAAATAAGTGCACTTTT